CTTCATTATTTCAAACATATAGTTGAATGATCATTTGGATCATTCTCTATATTTTGGAATAGTGATATGTTGCCTTTGATTAATCAATGAAAATTCTTGATTAAGATGAGACAGTTCCCTTTTTCTTTTTGTATGGTATGACTTTAGGAGAATGATCTACAAGTAATTTCTCTAGCATGTTTTAACACAAATATTGTTATTGACTGGTTCCCATAGTATGATCTTCCTCATATATGTTTCTACGATTACTTAACATAGCGCAAAATTAGTCTCAATTCGAGAAAGTGATCATCCGATCAATAACAGTTAACAAATAACATCTAACTTTTTACATTTCCTCAATTTATCTTATTATTATTATTTACTTTCCACCATTTACCTTTCCATCATTTATTTCACTATTCATTTATTTCATTGTTCATTATGTCATCTTCATCTTTATTTGTTCATCTCATTAAAAAACACAAAAACATGATAAAATGATCAAAAACCCTAAAAAAAACAATAATCTTGGACTATGGTTACTTTCCCTAGCATCATGGAGTTTTGGACCTTGTACGTAAACTCTAGCAAAGGAGGTTTGGGATTGGACTTCTCTACTTTTATTGTTTTATCTTAGGTGCACAACATTCATAGCTTATTCTTGGAATTTCTTACAATGATATTTATTCAATCAATTAACTATATTTGGTAGTTTAAAAGACTAGTCCACTTTGCTAGTACACTTGTAGTTTAGTGTTTGGGTTGTGTGGTTATGTTTATTCTATCCCCATTTGAGAAAATGTACCCCCACTCCCATGACGTGTAATAACTTTACTGCTTTCTCTTTGTTTGCTTTTGCCTAGGTAGCTTTAATGCAAGAATAAAATCAATCACCCTCTTTTCAAAAGAACACTAATATGTTTGATCCAACGTCAACATTTTTTCATAAAAACCAATTCAATAGGATTTCCATTACCATAAACCCTTAACCAATTACACTCCATTTTGCATTCATCCTTTGTAAGTCGATTCCTTTTGCATCACCAACAACATTCCCATTGACCAAGATATTTTTTAAACAACCAAACAAACCATTGATCCAACATCAAGTGGATTTTTCTTAAGCAAATTTAAAACACAATAAGATACGATGAGGATTGCACGCCACGAGCCTTAAGTGGTGGATAAGGAGTGAGAGTAGAGCTTTACTACACTCACTCTGATTATTTTGACAACAGATGTTTGGCTTGGTAGCTCGAAAGAATCACCTATATCCATAGTCTTTAATACAATCCTAATCAATAACCATTTCTTTCAAAAATCCTAAAAACAACATCAACTTATCAAGCTCTTTTTGTGCCTTAGGGAATCACTTCTAAAAACGTTTTTCAAGGTAAAATCAACCAATAAACACTTATTTTTTACTCTGAACTATGGAGCTCTAACTTCCTCATTGCACTATGACGGTATGTAGGCACGAGGTTTTAAAACCGAGGTGAGCATCCTAATAAAAGACCCTCCACTTTCCCTTTAGCAAGTAAACCTTTAGATAAACGACACCCTTTTCATACGTAGACAACCTAGATAGTTCCCGTTGAGTACAACGAATGTACGAGGTGCTAATACCTTCCCCTTGCATAACCGACTTTCAAATCCAACATTAGTTGCAACGACCATGTCCTATCATTTTCCGTCCATGGGTTATATCGATTTTCCCTTTCCTTCTTTGGAAATAAATAAAGTTCGGTGGCGACTCTCTGTTAGTCCATCCACGAGTTTTCCTCACGAGGTCGTATTTTTTTCGAGGTACGACAACAATATATGCCTGCTATTATTGTTTGTGATATCTTACCCCTTTGTTGTTATTGTGATATGTGCTCCTCTTCGGGGTACAAATAAGCAGGTAACTAAGTAGTTACTTTAGAGTTGGAGGAAGGCGTGAGGTTATTTCTTCATTTTTATTTCTACGTTTAGTTTACGTGCTTTGATATGTAGCAGTGAGAATATTTTGCGAGTCTTGTTTAATATTTTTGTTAGAGGGTTGTTGTATACTCTCATGTTTAATATTCCTATGTTTTAGGGAGATTTCATTTATGATTTGATTTTTCCAAAAAGTGAATTGGAAGTTTAAATGATAGTTAATGCATGCTTTATTATGATAAATTCTGTTGCGATGATACTCGAAGTGAAGGTGATCATGTGATGACACCGTAAGTGAAGGTGTTGATTGTTGTTTAATTTGATAATGTGTTACAAGGCATATATGTTTTGAAAATAAAATTTGTGACATCCTATTTGATTGTGTGAATATTATGATTTTATTGTATAATCATGTGCGGGGGAAATAGGTTGTTACAGTGGAAAAGGGTATAACATGCAAGGTTATCACTCCAATGCTCAAATCAGTATGTGAGGGCGAATAGTGAAGTAAGATTGAATTTCAAAATTGTGTACATCAAACTGCCTCACTTTCTATTTATAATGGAAAGGTTATAACAACTTATTATTGGTTAGGTGTGCGGTGCGGGGAGCCATTGAATGTAGTTGAGACTTGAATCATCTGTATTTGTTTGTAAGGTAGCTCTCATGTGCTGAGAAGGTTCTATATTAATTGCACTCTTTCTGAATGTTTGGCCGGAGCTCACCATGTCAGCCTGGAAAAAAATTATATACACATGAAATCCTCAAATGGTACAAGGAGTATCAAGCAAAAAGCAAAAATATAAATAAAAGGAAAAAACAAAGGGAAAACAACAACATTAAACTATGGAAGAGGAACACCTAAATCAGGATCAAAACTCCTAGCTACAAGGCACATAAGACATCACAAAGCAGAAAACCAACAAGAGCTTCAATCGCCAAACCCACAATCAACAAACCAAAAGAACTATTTGTAAAACCGAAGACCATTGATCCCTCTAGAGCAGGTCATAACTCTTGGTTAGCTATTGGTTAAGATACGGCATAAAGTTTTGAAGTCAATCGAAGAATGAGGGAGAGTTCGATGTTGATATGTTAAGAAACCAACTCCGAGTAAAAAAAATACTCTTATCATCCACATATTTCTCATTTGTTGACGATCTAGAAAATAATTTATCATTATGCATTAATTAGATGGTACACACCACTGCGTGGAAAAGTATGGAAAAATCTCCCTTATACTTAACCATATTACCGAAAGAAAGTCCAAACTCCCTAAGAATCACCAATTGAACCCCTAACCAACTAAAAATCTTATACTAAACTTCACAAGCTAGATTACAAGTAATAAATAAATAAATAATAGGCTGATTCAAGCCAATCCCCATAAAAGATACAAGAGAAACCCTTCGGGTCATCAATGACCTTCCTCTTGAACAAATTATCCCTAGTCGATAATCTACTGTGCAGGTGTTTCAAAGAGAATACCAGCACTTTCTAGAGAACCCAACTATCACAGATAAGAAGATAAAAATAAAGATGGAAAGAAAACTAATAATACTTTAAATAAGAAATTGGTGGAATCTTTTAGGCATATTTATACTTCTATGCATGGTATATGCATGAACTTAAACCGTCAGATATGCAAGAACTCAAGAGGATCATGGAATATTCTTAAGGCATAATTGACCATGAAATCTTGTTTCAAAAATCCGAAAGCTAAAGGGATTAGATAATTAGTTTTTGTGACTGACTGGAGTGGAGATAAAGTGGAAATTATAAGCACAATAATTGTTCAACTCTCTAATATTATGCTTCTCCAAGAAGCCAACTATGGTATCTCTATCATCATGTGAAGTTGAATTCACATCAGCTTGCAATGTCGTTTGCCAATGAGTGTGGTTACAATATCCACCGATTCAAATGAAGATATGTAAGGAAGAAGAAGTGGAAGTTAAGGTAGACAAAAATTAACAGACAATCTTTCCAAAAATCTCATACCTTAAGGAATGGGAAAACACATTGAAATAAAATTTATTTATTTTAGATATCAAGTATGCAAAGACAAGGTCATTCTTAGATATCGCAGAGTAAACAATCAAGTTGCAAATATCCTAACTTAACTGCTACAAATTTAAAAATTTATGAAAATGAAAAGTAAGCTCATTATATTGACTTTGAATTAAAAGAAATTATTGAAATGTAATTCAAACATAGGTATTAAATGGATTACTCACTATATAAGTAACTAGGCAGTCATGTTACTTGATGTACAAGTAACTAACTAAGTTGGTAATGAAGTTTTGGGCCTTGCCAATGCCCTGTAAGCCCAACTCATAATGTGTAAAAATAATCACATGTGTGATCAATAATCAATGTGAGATATGCGCAAACAATTTTCAATCCAATTCTTCCTTCTTCTCTCTTATGTGTGATTAATAGTTCCTTGATACTCATACAAAACATTGAAGTAATATTGAAATTAACCAAGAAAAAGGCAATGAATATCCATTTGAAATAATTAAAATGACATGGATGTAATAAGATAACATGGGCCGGTATGCTGAGGCTGACACAAAGAGGTCCCCAAGCAGTTGGGGGGAGAGATGTACATGCACACATTTCCCTTAACCCTATGGGGGACATATGCATAAAGGACAGTTGGAGTATCTCTCACAATCCTATTTCATCTACTTGTCTCCCTCATACAATATCCCTATTTAATAACATCCCTACCGTAATACCTTTTTCAAACACTTTTCCCCTTCAACTCCTAACACCAACTGTTCTCTTATATCAGCCTAAGCTAATCTCTCTTTCATGGCCTCCCTTTTCTCTCTCTCCTCCATCACTTTTTTCACCTCAGAAACTAAATAACTAATTAATTTGCATTATTTTTTCTGTCTTCTCTTGAAATATTCACTTTAAATAAGAGCTTCTTAAGCCTATATAGTATCAACCTAGCTAGCTAGAATATAGGTTGCCTTTGTTTCCTCTTCCTCAGCCACATTCTCTAGGCTCTTTTCACTTACATTTAAGAGATTAGAAACTAAACAACAAAATATATTTCTGACACACCTACACCTACTTTCTTAAAAATGTCTAGCAGAAGATCTAGTTCGAGACAATCTGGTGTTTCCACTGAGATCTCTGATGCTCAAATTAATGATCTCATCACCAAGTTGCAACAACTTATCCCTGAACTTGCAAGGCGTTCCAACAAGGTAGTACTAGTATTCATTTTCTTTTCTTTTTAATTAATATTCTCTCTCACATAACTGTAAAACACATCTTCTAAGTGTGTATTTGGTTTCATAGTATTTAAACAACTAAAATTGATTCTAACCAAATAAAGTTAATTTGGACATGTTTGAACTATGTTGATTGAATTTTATTTAAATTTTAAAATTGAATTAATTATAAAGTAAAATTTATAACATTTTAAGACAGGCTTAATCTTTATATTTAATTTTATTGTTGAACTCGATAAAAAAGAAATGTATTTAAAATATATATTACTTTATATTTAATTCATTTTTAATTAATTCATTCTTAATCATTTTATTTAATCTTGAAAATTTTAATTACAATTATTTTTAATTCTTAAAGCTAATAAAATTTAAAATTTATTTAATTTTTTACGTATAAATTTCTACATAACATTTTCAAGAATTGTATAGATCTATATGATCTAAGACCTTTCAAATATTATAATAGGTTTTAGAATATTTTTTTAGAGAGTTAATTAAAGATATATATTGCAATATTTCAATTAAAGAATTAGGGTTTTTTATTTTTTTTATAATTTTATTCATAGAACTAATTCATTTATTTTAGATTCAAACAATTCTAATTAATCTCTCATTATTTAATAACATAAACCGTGATATCGGAATTCTTTTAAAATGTAACACATAAATAATATAAGTGAAATGCTATTAAAAAGAAAGACGTCATCAATTTTAAGTGTAAAAAATATAAAAATAAATTAAAATTAAATAATATTAAAATAAAGAGATTAATTATGTAAATAAACTAGAATAATAAATGAAATAATATTGAGTCAAATCTAAATTAATAATTAACTCGAAATGCAATATGTCATTTGACTCACAACCTCTAGATGAAGAAATCACAATAGTTGTTGAAAACTCAGACACACAACCATAAAAATTAGAGTTTAAATTTTGGTGACTACATCCGGCATATGAATATTGACTTTTGCTTGTTGAATTATAGATTGGCTCCAACATATGAATATTGATTTTTGCTTGTTGAATTATAGATTGGCTACAAAATAATTTAAATTTTGCTAATGAATGTGATATATTTTGTACCAAAAATATAAATATAAATTATTCTATACCTAATCTAGAGTTTTTGATTTTGACAAGAACTAATCTAATTAAAGCATCTTAAATTTGTTGTGTTCCTAGAAAAGGTATCTAAACAAGAATTAATTAATACTACAAGGGAGTCACATGACACACACTACACACATATTTTATGTGGCTTTAGTTGTCTTGTTAGATAAGTCATCAGGCTTGTGCCCTTAACCCACAATTTGTGAGGCTGTGGGACTTAGGACATTCCCACTTGCCATGCATATATCATTGTCGAGTAATTCCAACAACATTAATTGGTTTATGTTTTATTTTTTGTTTGTTTGTAATATAGGTTTCAGCTGCTAAAGTGTTGCAAGAGACTTGCAATTACATCAAAAACTTGCATAGAGAGGTTCATGATTTAAGTGACCGATTATCACAACTTTTGGACACTATAGATCCTAACACTCCTCAAGCAGCTATCATTAGGAGCTTAATTATGTGATCAGTATGTCTCTAATTAATAAATTAGTTTTTATGTCGAGTACATGTCTTTTAAAATGTCTCACTAGCTAGCTTCTACTTTATAATTAAATGTCAACCTTTCGATATTTTGTGTAACAACTTTCATTATATAAATATTACTAATATAATGAATTAATTCCTAATTAATATGAATAGTTATATTAATCAATATATGATTATATATGTATATCCCCTAGCCCTACCTATGGTTTTTCTATTATGCTATTCACATGAATGTGTTAAAATATTTACGATTTTGGAGGTGCAACATGTTAGCGTTTGATCTAGGTAATTTATATCTTATTAGAGAAACCAATTTTTTGTGTGAAGCCATTAAGGGTCAAATTTGAACCTGATGTGTTGCATGTGACATTGCCCCCACACCATTTTCGGTTACTTATTCTTGCCAAATGCCAACCCGTGATACTTGTGTTGGACCACTGTTTACAAGCCCTAGTATATTTATTTTCTATCTCTAGTTACATTTGCATCATTAATATAAACGGATAATAATGATAAGATATGCATATCTTATTGTTTACAAGTTATTAAAATTTTACTATCTTGACTTTTTCTTAAAAAATTTCTATTAGACAAAGCTATCAAATTAGTGTATATATTATTCAAAAATACCATAGTTGACAAAGTTTGATTATAGGAAGGTTCGTCGTGGGCCTCTAATAATTTTGAACTAAGTTATAATTGATTTTAAACATTTAAAAGAAAAGCAAAAATAATTAATTTCAAGTAATGCTTAGTGATATATTTGGAGTGATAACTCAATGGGTCCTTTTTAGGAATTAATGTCTGATCATTGTTCTATCATTCTCAAATATTTTAACTAGTTATTAGGGTCGAAATTTTTTCGATTTAATAATCATTGGTTATTAAACTGCGGTTTTTTTAGGTTGTTCTTTCTTGTTGATCTATTTCTTCAGTTTAATGGAAGATTTTTGTATTATTAGAAAAACTCAAAGCTCTCAAACTGGAGTTGAAATGTTGCAATAAGCAAGTATTTCGAAACTTTAACATTCAAATTGATTTTATAAAGGAGACAGTTTGGGAGCTGGATGTTGTGACTGATCAGTGAGCTTTATCTAAGGTGGGCTCTAGTAAATTTGTAGAACTCTGGTCTTTGTTGAGGACTAAATACTCTCAAATATTCCAAAGATTCAAATCTAAGTGACTTAAGGAAGGTGATTCTAACTCTGGTTTCTTTCAAGCTCCAGTCAAGAGTAGGAATAAGAGAAATATTATTCTTGTCAAGGGGTGTCTGAGATTCAGCAAAAGGTGTTTAATTAATTTTTTGAGATTTCCAAGAAGCCAAATCTTGATAGGCCTTTCTTGGATGATATTATTTTTCAGTCTATTGTGGATAACCTTGTCTTGACCTCTTATTTTACCTTTCAAGAGTTAGACAGTGTCATTGCATTGTGGGATGGTAACAAGAATCCAAGTCCCAATAGTTTTTCTTTCTCCTTTTTTAGAAGGTTCTGAAATTTTTTTAAGGAAGATTTTGGTTTTGTTCGACAAATTTTATCGATTTTCTTCTTTAACTTATAGCTTTGCTTCTTACTTTGCCACCCTAATTTCTAACGTTATTTCTCAAGTGCAGTTAAGTGATTTTAAACCTATTTCCTTGGTTGGTTCTTTGTACAAGTTAGTGGATAAAGTACTTGCTGCTAGACAAAGGGAGGTCTTGGAAAAGTTTGTTTCCTCTAATCAATATGCCTCTTTAAAAGTTAGAATGGTGGTTGTTGTAAATGAAGTGATTGGCCTAACTAAGAAAATTAGGAATTCTTGTCTCATTTTTAAAGTGGATTTTGAGAAGATTTATGACTCTGCGAGTTGGGAGTTTCTGAAGTATATGTTGATCAGATTTGGTTAAGTAGAGATCTTGGATCAGAGCCTATGATTTTGTTGGGAATCTCGCAGTGTTGCTCAATTGCTTCCCAACTCAAAAAATCAGTATTCAAAGGGGTGTGGATCAAGGGGACCCCATAACCCCTTTCCTTCTCTACTGGTGGTTGAATGATTAAGTAGCTTGATTGTTAGGGTTGTTGAGTTTAGTCTTTTCACTAGTTTTAGGATAAGAGTGTCTGATTTGGTGGTATATCATCTTCATTAATCTAATGATAGTCTTATCTTAGCATACTCGTCTATTGAGAAACTCTAGACTATAGAGGTTATTCTTAAATTTTTTGAGTTAGTTTTTGGCCTCTAGGTAAAAAATTTAAAAACTAGCTTATAAGGGTTAATATGGATTCTGACTTTCTGGATTTTGCTGGTGGCTTTCTTTAGTCAACTTGAAACCATTTCTTTCAAATATCTATTGTTACTTGTTAGGGCTAGCCCCAGGAGAGGAGTAACTTGGGACCCCCTCGTTAATTTGTCATCTAAAATTCCCAACTCTTGGAAGTACATGTATGTTAGATTGGGGGCGTATGACAATTTTGCTTAATTATATGCTTAATGATATCCCAATTTTCTTCTTGCCTTACATGAAAATTCTTGTAAAGCTTTGGAGGAAAATAATTCAAATTTAAAGAAGGTTTATACATGAGGGCATTAAGGGAGGTTCTCAAATCTTCTAGGTCAGTTGGGATGATGTGTGTAAGCCTAAGAGTATAGGCTACACGGGGGTTAGAGATCTCTGCCTAGTCAATTTATCTCTTCTTGCTAAGTGGATGTGGAGTCTTATATCTGTTGATTATGGCCTTTTGAGAGATATCATTCTTGCTCATAAAGGCGCCTCTTTTGGATCTATGTGCTTGCAGGTATGAAGTTGATGAGGCTTTCTAAAGTTTTGATGACGACAATACCAATGATCGCTAAAGTCAATAGTAATAACCTTGTAACTCTCTAATGATAGTGACAAAACTTAAAAGCATCTCAAGCCTCATCAAGTACGTGGCTCAAGATTACATTTAAGTACTTATATGATCGATGTATCTAACAAAGGATATTGAAAGCCTCAGAATTGTGAAATAGAGGAAGTGTGAACGCTCGCCTGGTCGTGTCTGACAGAGTGACTAGAGTCTTGTGAAAGTAGGAGAGTAACTCCTAAGATACTAATACAAATCACACACTCACTTAAAATCATATATGTACCTCTTTCTTAACTAATAAAACACCTAAAAATGTGTTCAAGCCTTAGTCAGTTGATTAGGAAACTCCCAACTTCATTTAAAATATTTTTTGAGCTATCTAATCGATTGGGGCCTATAGCCAATCAATTGGAATAAACAAAATTGATGATGACAATATCTTAATGATTGGTAACATATCTCTATCTAAACGTTCTAAAATGGGCTCAAATAATTGATTAATTTGGTCACCTAATTGATTGGAGTAAGGATCATCTCTCTCTCTCTCTCTCTCTCTCTCTCTCTCTCTCAAAAATATTTTCTTTTCAGAAAAGTTATCTCATTGTCTTATGAGAGAAAATTAGATCTGTTAGCTTAACTTGGGTAAAAGCTTTTTTTGGGTTGGGGATAAGCCATTGTAAAATATATAGATTTGTTTGCATTGAAGGTTCATGGGTATAATATAACCCAGTCTGCTTTCAAGATTACGGAATGACCCCACAAACCAACACAGGTTTTTTCAACATGTTTTGTCCTCACTCACATGCTTTCGGAGACACTTCCCAGAAGGTCACCCATCCAAATACTACTCCATGTCAAGCACGCTTAAATATGGAATTCTTATTTGTTAGGATATCGAAAAGAAGATGCATCTATTTAGTATAAAAAGTAGCAATCAATCCTTATAAGTCTTCCTTCAATCATACAGACTCATACCTGCACACCCTATAGATCCCTCTCATTCTGATGTGAATTCGGCGACCACTATCCACACTCTTCGGCCTCGAATTTTACATCCATTATACGCCCTCTTTGGTCTTGGGTGTTCAATGCCCACTAGTTTCCTCCTGGTTTGTCCTCAAACCACATCATAGTGTGAGAGGTCTGACTCTTATACCATTTATAACGCCCTAGACTACTTTCAAAATTACTTACTGACACAACAAACTAACACGACTTTTTTCAGCATACTTTGTCCTCACTCACACGCTTTCTGAGAAACTTCCCAAAAGGTCACCCACCCAAATAGTACTCCAAGTCAAGCACTTTTAACTATGGAGTTCTTATTTGTTAGGCTACCGAAAAGAAAATGCATCTTGGTGGTATAGGTAATACCAATCAATCCTTATAAGTCTTCCTTCAATTATATAGTCGCATACTTGTACAACCTCAGGATCCCTCTCATTCTGATGTGAATTCGACGACCACTCTTCACCCTCTCGGCCTTGAGTTTTACATTCACTCTCCGCCCTCTTCAATCTTGGGTGTTACACATAACCTATAAAAGCTCAAGTTTATACTCAAAATCTCAAGAAGATCTTTTGGGGATAGGAGTAGGCCAAGATTCGGCCGAACCTGGATAAACCGCTGGTGCCATCTCTCTAAACCTTTATCTCTTACTTTTATCAGTTTTATTTTTTGTTGTGCATTTTACTTTGATCTTAACGAATACTAACACAATTCAAGTATTAAGTAACAAAACATTAAATTTAATCACGAATTTTGAATACCCCAATTCAACCCCCCCCCCCCCCCCCCCGGCCATTTTTTGCATGAAGTCAATTGTCCAACAAGTGACATCAGAGCGTCACTCCTATTAAATAATAATCGTCCAACGAGGGAAAATGACTTTAATCTATTCACTAAATAAACCTACATTCATAAATAGAGAAAGGTATAGTTTGTGGACAGAGAAAATGAAGTTTTTCATAAAAGGGATGGATTGTGGTATTTGGAAAGTTGTAAGGAAAGGTCCTTTTATTCCTACACACATATTTAATGGTGTTGTAGAAAGCAAACCTGAAAAGGATTGGACCAAATATGCTAAAGAAAATGTGCAGTTGTTCGCCATGAAATTTGGAGAACAATAGCTGGTCTAACAAATCTTAAAGAC